TGAAAAATAATTTAATGATGTTAGATTTTATTTCTGTGCCCATTTCGTTATAGCTCGTTATTTTTTAAGCGTATTTAAGGTATTTAGGCCGTTTAAAACTATGAAATTATAAAATCTCGTCTGCGCGCTAGGCATACGAAAGATATCAATCCCTCTAAGTTTACCTTAAAATGGTTCCAGGTATACGGCGCGTGAACGCGTAACCTTCTTGGAGGTGCCACGGCGGGTTCTAATATTGCCAACTCAAATTTAGTAACCTGGCCTTGATAAAATACCACTTCTCATTACTGTAGCAAATGCCTCAAGAGAGCTTTAGATTACAAGGCCGAACCCGGCTCTCCCTTTTCCATTTAATGAAATTTATTCTGTCAGTACGGCACTTATAAAATAAATCTCCATAACAAATTTTAAATACTTCGAGAGATCTTCTATCCTTCCAGAGATATGTATTAAGAAATTTTTAGTATGTATGGGAGGCGACATGCCTCCTCTTTTAATAACTCACATTTTTTCCATGAGCAATTGATACATTTTGTATACACAACTCCATACGAAGTTCCAGTATTCTTCCACAAACACTTCCAGGGATATGTGACAAGAAAAAGTAAATTTGTACTGGAAGTGCCACGCCCCTTTTTCTTATAACCCTAATCTTCTTCCATCAATTTAGAATTGATTTTACATACGCCAGTACCAAGTCCCAGTACTCTACCATGAACACCTCTAGAGATAAGCAGTATAAAACAGTAAATTTGTACGGCAGGAACCATGTCCCCTTTTCGAAGAAAGCAAATTCTTTTCCATGAGTATGGAATTAATTTTGTATACTCATCTCGGTGCCAAATTCCAGTCCTCTGCAATAAATACCTCCAGAGATATGCAGCATAGAAAAATCAATTTGCATGGGAGTTGCCACACCACCTTTTCCAATAACTCTAATTTTTCTCCATGAGTATGGTATTAGTTTCACATACATACATACATATGTATTTCCATACCAAGCTTGAGTGCTTTACCCCAAACATTTGAAGAGATATGCAATATGAAACTTTCAGTCAGTATGGGAGGTGCTAAGCCTCTTTTCCAAACAAGTCCATTTTTTTCGTGAATATGAACATGATTTCACACAGTGTTGGCAAACTGTTAATCTGATTAACGACTAAACATTAACGATTAAAATGTTAATCGCGTTTGACGATTAACATTAATTAGTCGTAATCAACTGTACGATTAATGATAACATTTTTTTAATCGTTAATCGCTGGCTGCAATTACGTCTAATTAATTTAAAACATTAATCGTTAATCCAATTAAAAATAAAATCTAATTAATTTGTCTAGTTTGTCCGAGTTTGAAACCAAACACCAGTTATAGTAATTATTTTGTGGTTTACGCTTATAAAAAGCACATAATATAAAAAAATTATAATTATTGTTATTAGTAATACATAAACTGGGAACTTTTACAAACCTAGTTTGTAAAACGTTTGTTGGTATATATCTTCATGAAAATGCACACCAAATTGCTTAGATTGATGAGAAAACCTGATATAGCCATACCGGATTAACTTGCTTTGTGTGCACAGGGAAATTCCAGCATAACTTAATTAATCACCAAACCTACTTGATCAAATTAAGAGTTAACGATTAAAAATTAATTTTTTAATCGCGGTTACGATTAACTGTTTAGTCAGATTAAAATGAATCATGATTAACTGTAATCAGATTGAATTTAATCGAATTAACTAACTGATTAAAACATCAATCGATTAATGCCATCATTGATTTCACATACATATCACTATACCAAGCTTCAGTTCTCTCCCACAAATACTTCCAGAGATATGTATGTAATATGAAAATTCCGATTTGTATGGGAGGGGCCTTGAGTTAATACCATCTTTCCGAAATCCGTAGTAAGGGTACTAAATTTCGTTCTGATCGGAAAACCAGTTAAGGAAGTAGCCTATTTTTCAATCCAGGTCATAAACCATCTTTGAACAAAATTTCATTTTCAAACAGGTGGCATTCTTAAAAAAGTAGCCTATTTTCCAGTCTAGGTCATAAGCTATCTGTGTGCAAACTTTCATGCAAATCAGTTCAGTCATTTACGCGTATTAATTTAATTAAACTTTCCTTATACGAGATAACTCTTAAAATAGTAGCCTATTTTCCAACATAGGTCATAAGCTATCTCTGTGCGAAATGTCATGCAAATCTGTTCAGTCGTTTCTGCGTATTAATTTAATTAAAACTTGTTTAACAGGTGGCAACTCTTCCAAAAAATTAGCCTATTTTTCAGAGTAGGTCATAAGCTATCTGCTGGCAAAATTTCATGCAAACCCGTTCAGACTTTTCCGCGTATTAATTTAATTAAACTTTTTTAGCAGGTGGTAACTCTTAAAAAAAGTAGCCTATTTTTCAACCTAGCTCATAAGCTATCTTTGTGAAAACTTCCAGGCAAATCAGTTCACTCATTTCCGCGTATTAATTAAATTAACGATTTCTAACAGGTGGCAACTCTTAAGAAAGTAGCCTACTTTCTAACCTAGGTCATAAGCTATCTGTGTGCGAAATTTCATGCAAATCCGTTTAGTCGTTTCCGCGTATTAATTAAGTTAAACTTTTTTAACAGGTGGCAACTCTTTCAAAAAATTCGCCTATTTCCCACTATAGGTCATAAGCTATCTACTTTCAAAATTTCATGCAAACCCGTTCAGACTTTTCCGCGTATTAATTTAATTAAACTTTTTTAACAGGTGGCAACTCTTAGGAAAAGTAGCCTATTTTCCAACCTAGGTCATAAGCTATCTGTGTGCAAATTTTCATGCAAATCCATTCAGTCGTTCCCGCATATTAAGTAAATTAAACTTTTTTAACAGGTGGCAACTCTTAAAAAATAGCCTATTAACCAATCTGGCCCATAAGCTATCTGCGTACCAAATTTCATGCAAATCCGTTCAGTCGTTTCCGCGTGATGATTTCCCAAACAGCCAAACATACAAACTTTCACATTTATAATATTAGTAAGATTCCCAAACATCCAAACATACAAACTTTCACATTTATAATATTAGTAAGATTATATATGTAAGTATTTTTGGACAACTAATAGGAGAGCGGCATGGTGGTTTACATACAACCCTTTAAATTTTTTAAACAGTAGCTTATACATGTTGAGTATATTACTACTCTCAGTAATTTTGATGCATATTCCGGATGCTTGACGAATACTTTATATTTCTCCCAGTTGCTTTAAAGTCGGAATGTAGGGATCCTACAGCTTGCTCGCTATAGAATCCTAGACCCTTGCCTACATGCATGCATGTTCTTTTGGACTTGCAAACATGTTATTGTTTTGTAGATATACTTGATACAAACTATTGCAAGTATAAAGAACACTTATATTCGAAACTTAAAAAGAACAAATGTTGTGCGCGCACAATCTTCTCGTTTGACTTGAATTTATCGGCATTTTGTGCATAAAATAAGCTAAGACACTTGAACCATATACTAACTTGATTGTATATAAATCGTACAAGTTACATTACAAAATAAATATAAACTGTAATGTATCAATTTGTCATCTAGAGCGGGTGCGTGAAAATTTTAAAAGAAAAGGAATAATTTTCATTCAAAATGAGTTTTTTCAAAAACGGCTCGATAAGTTATGGGCTATAAAATTTTTACAAGTTATGCAGAACATAATTAACCCAAATTGGCAACAAATTATGATGTGCTATGACCTTCGATTTAAAGTTGGTTCAGGTCCACCGTGACTGGCTATGTAAGTAGAATCATGTCGAGATATTTCGAAAAACCGTATTTATGGTCCGATTTGGTTCGAATTTGGCGTATGTGGTTGAAACATAATAAATCATAGATTTCCAATAAATTGACCCTGAATTGGCGCTGAAGTCAAAACATAAAGTATATTCGACATAAAATACATGTTTTATTTGCGTTAAAAATTCATTTAAAAGCAATATTAACAAAAATATTACGATGGAAATTTATGTCACGTGACGTTTCACACTTGGGTTTGTAAAAGAAAATTGAAACAAGTTGCATTAATTCAAAACACTTTAAAACCAACTAGAATTGCTCCGAATCATATTAAAATAAGTTTCATGAAAATAGCCATCCACAATTCGCAGAGTTTTGTTAGAAAAGAAAAAATCAACTTCCATTTTTTGTCACGTAACGACACTCTCTTTAAATGCTTATATTTCAGGACCAAGCAGTTCGATTGTTTTCATTTTTCGGTTAAATATAGAGCTAATTATGTGCTATACAATGGCCCAAAAAAGTTAAAGAAAACAAATGGTATTCCTTGTTTGTATAACATTGAAACGTACGACTGTCACGTATGCGACGTATGGAAATACCCATATATACTTACCCTATTTACATTCAACTACCTATTTCCTCTATACTTACCTTATTTACATATTTATACATACATACTTACATTCTTATCGTACATAATCTCTTAAAAGCCGGTGAACTCACATACTTCTTATATACATATTAAGAACTACTCTAAGCCGTTAGTTTAAATCGTAGTTTAAGTAAGATGAAGTTCAAAATAAATAAATCACTTGCTAAGTAGAACCGAAAGATGCGCAAACCAATTATTTCGTGAACCGAAAAGTTAGAAAAGGCGTTGTTGTTGCTTCTCGTGCACTCCCCCATAAAGACCCTAACACATAGAGTACATATGTACGTATAAAATGAGTGGAACAAAGCTTGCAATAAACTGGTTCAACCTTAAAAAGTCTTAAGGATTTTCAGATGCTTTGATACTAAAATGAAAAAAGTGATACATATTGATACATTTTAAGTCTCTTTTCTGCTACAATTTTTCACAAGCCCGCGGTCACACTGTTTAAGAAGCAGCTGTTCAAAACGCAAAAGGAAAAAATTGGCAAGTTTATTTTAATTCGTTTTAATAAAACAAAATGAGTGCATCGTTACCAAAACACATTGAAATATTGCAGAATGTAAGTATTTGTGCATCCATTTGAAGTATATGTGTGTGTATATACAGTGATTTTACTTGTGTTTCCATTTAAAGCAAGAACCGCCTGCAAAGAGATGTCGCATCCACCAGGAGTTGACTTCTGGAAGATTCAATGAAATTGAGTTTGCGATTATAGAAGGTTTGTTTAGATTGTTTTTAATAATTTATACAGTGTTTTGTTAACTAAATATATCTACTTATAGCGGCATTTAGTTTAAGTGAGTCGAGTGGCAGTGATTCTTATGGCGACGAAGTACTCTGTCTGCTTTATTTGCATAATATATTAAATTAACAAGTACTCCTCTTAAAAGAAATTGCATCATCTGAAAAAACACCACGAAATTGTGTTAAAAACTACTTAGAAGCGGTGGTGCCAACTTAAACGTAGCGGGAGTTTCGTTCGCATTTCAGGATTCAGCGCAGTTTAGATGTTTTTATCGACAGGAAGGGTTCCTACAGCTTATGTTTACAAGGTGACGAAAGGAAAAAATATATCAATATATTTGTAGGGTACCAAGGCTCGTCACACGACAGTTGGGTTTTCCAAAATTCGCGCTTATACTACAATCTCTCAGAATTTTGTGGAGGTAATTCCAAAGCCCCATCCGCATTTAAGATTTCTTAGTTTGTCACTAATTTACAATTTTTGCAGACTACTATTTATTGGGAGATTCTGCCTATCCGTTCTCTGCGCATGTAATTACGCCCTATCGTGATAATGGACATTTAACCCATGGGCAGAAAATATTTAACATAAAGCTGACGTCAGGAAGAGTGGCGATTGAACATACGTTCGGTATTATTCCAAGCTTTCGGCAGTAGTATTATTCCAAGCTTCGAGGCATTGATAAGTTGTGACATTTCATTCGCGCGTGCTGCGTTCTTCACAATATTGCAAACCTAGATGATTTGGAATTATCCTGTTCCAACAAATATAAGAGGAAGCTTATTGCGAGAAGCAATATGTAGAGATATCCAAAGGCGCCAAAGAATTTAAAATGTTAATAATTACATATATTTTAATTTACGAGCAAGAATCTTCTTGCATTTCTACAATAATTTTTTTTTACACTTAATCTTAAAATAAATACTTGTAATATTGTTACAATTCATTTATTTAACAATTAATAGTAATATAAAATGGTTTTGGTACAAATTTAAAAATTCATATCACATTTTAAAAAATAAACTCATATAACTTCATATACTCATACCAATATATCACTTCGTGTAAAATACTTTGTACTACAAAAGAATAACGTTTAAAAATATTGAGTTCGATTCAGAAGTTACTTGTCTAGTTTGTCGACAAGCGATTCTAGTAGTTCCTGCTTCCACCTTTTCTGACTTCCTCCCTTTCGGCGCGTTCTTCTTTTCTCTTTGCCCGCTGTCTATCAATTCCATGTAGTGAAGAGCTTTTTCTTCAAAATCTTTACTGCTGTCGCAAAAATCAATAAAGCGTTGTTGAATCACCGATCCTTGTCTTCTGAGATTTCGTTTTTGAGTTTATTTAAAAAATTAACTATTAACATTCTCATTATAATAGAACTTATATAAATACATGCCTGCTATGTGCGCTCTGGCGTTGGATGATGTGGATGGGGTTTCTGAGTCTTCATCATCTTCTATTTCCGTACAGACAGTGCTGTCTTCGAGTGTGTATACTGGGTTAATACTACGTTTTTCCCCTAGAAAATCGTCCAACTCACTTTAACAATAATAATTCATATATATCAGTATTCAAATAATTTATGTACACACGTATCTAGTGCAAAAACTTACGCTTCGTATGGGCATGTTTGTTTATCCCGCCCAGTTTGAGAGTTGTGCAATTTTACATTTTTATAGCACCTCTCCAAGCTATAGAATTTACCTTCGACCTGTTTTGTGGTAAACATATATCCTGCCGCGCACATCCTCTCCGAGATTGTGACCCACATTTTTTCTATTGCTCCTTAAATCAATAGGGCTATTCGCGATCCGGTGCAAATGGCCTGGCATCATTGCATTGCAAATTTGCAATACCGAAAATCCATAGCATAAAAATGCTATGCATTGCAACTCTGGTTGACATTTCTATCAGCTGAATAAAAAAGTTTTACCATGGCAGTTTAATAAAGGTCGCTCACAATCCATGGTATATTTCTGCAATTGCATAAATTTGTCAGCTCTTATGCACCGAATCGTGAATAGCCCTATTACATTTTCCTACTTTAGGTGTAAGCTCTTTTACTAAGGCTATCAACAGTTTGGTTGGCGCATCAAACCAATCGTTTTTATAGCTACCTTGCACTTCGGTTTCTTCATCTGAGAGTATAAAAAAGATTTTTATATTAAGTTTGCTAAATAAAAAGCTCGGGTACGGTTTAGTTATTTGAACAAATAGTTTGGGTTGCTGGCCCTAACCGCGTGACCCGAATCAAAAAACCTTTACACACACAAAATATCTCTGCAAAAGGTTTTCAGCCCCTCTTCTTCGGCAACACAGAAAGGAGAATTCTACTTAGTGAGGGTTATAATCCTTTTGCAAAAAATCCAATTTCCCCTATTTTCAAACAGCTCCGAAGGGGTCTGTGGGTGGTGAGGAGGAAGGGTTGACTTTTCATAAAGCTCGGTCTGTCCTCTTTCGTTTAAAGCACGTTTCAGAGGCCACGCCCCCTTCCTCTCCGCCCCCTACCCCAAAATCGTTGTACAATTAACTACTCATTTCCCAAAAACTTTATATTTATTTACATAATTTTACTCACTTCTTCTAGAGAATTGAAGACAATATTTTCCAGTCTCACACTCTGCTCCTTCACCACTTTTTCTATTAAATCCTGCCGATACTTTTCATCTGTAACAAATATTATTCACTTGTTTTAAGTTTGCATATTTCGTTGTTAATTAAACATACTTACCAGTTATCAATCGAGAACAAGTTCTCGGTGAGCAATTTACCAGCAGTTTTCCTTCCATGTTATAAAATAAAAATAATTTAAAACTTTTCCTACATTTGTTTTGTGCAACAAATAGCGCCAATTATTTTTAAATGTCAAAATTTGTTTACTTGCAAATTTCTCCTAGTTTTCGTTTCTTTACACTCTCGCTCTTTCTATCTCTTTGTTCGTAAAATTCTACTATTCGCCAATCTGCTATCAACAGCTGTAAAAAGTTAAGAAATACTCCTATTATCTGTAAAAACGTTTATTTGCTATTTAATGTGCATTTGCATCACTATTCTATGACTATAACAGCCATGTCATTGTTTAAGCAATTACCGATTGGCAACAGCAATCCCTAAGGCACGGTGCACATTAGTGCGATACGATATGCGATACGATATGGATGCGACATCGACATGCTGAGTACGTGGTAGTTGGTAGGAAGCCATGAAAACTGTGCACACTTGCACGACAGCGACACCGATGCGATATATTATCGCATGTGTATCGCACGTGCGACACGGTTTGTTGAACGAGGTGAAATTAGTACTGCGCGGTATTTTTTGCAATAAGCATGGCCTTT